CCTGTGTTTTTCTTGTAGAGAGAGAGAGAGAGAGAGAGAGAGATTGTATTTTAATATATCATGGTAGCAAATTCAATACATATTTAATATTTATCTGTCAAATATTTAATAACTAAATTTAACAAATCCAATACAACGAGATGGAATTGTTCATTCTAATTAATTTTAAATATTTTTAATTTAATATATACTGCATTATATGAAATTAATAACTATTAATATTTTTATTAAATATAACAAAAGTACATAAATTGTTAATTTACATGAAATTTTAAAATAAACTTATATATAAAATACTAATTAATTAAATAGGATATAACTTATAACTACATAATATAATTGAGATTCCTTTAATGTAAATGTCTAGAAAGAAACAATTGAAACAAATGACAATAATTTAAAAATAATGTAAGATTTTAAATTCAATTTTATCTTATTTTTTTAATTATTAAAATTACAATAAAATTTATTGAAATACAAACGTGATAAAAAATTATTGTTAGTTTAATCAATCTAATTAATATTGTTGGAAATCTTTCATACATATAATCATTTTTGCAGGAAATGACATAGATATTTCTTTTATAATGTTTAACTTTATTTCCAGTATTAGAATAAAAAATTTATGATTAATATTAAGTTGTTTTACATTTTACATATAAAATTATGACAATAATTAAAACACAATTTTTTATTTTAATCTTATATACAGACATGTATTTATCGCAAAACTGTTACGACATGAATGACAACCAGTGTTATTGTGGATCAGTAGCCATACCTCCCGGCGCTCATATTTATGCCACAACTGGAACTAAACAAATTTTATTTGACAACAAAAGTATTTATGAAAACAATATTAAAGTGTATTACTTTTGCAACGATGAGAGCGCTCTGTTAATCGGCAATAATGTACGGCACTGTCATTACGGCCATTGGACGGGTGCTGTGCCCCGATGTGGTCAGTTTTAAAACATAAAATACTTATTCTAATTGTATTATGATTATTCTTACTTTATATTTATCCATAACTACTCTATAGCTATTGTTTACAGCAAAAATATTTTTAGTCTAAATGAACGACATTTAAAGCAAACAATTAACACAAGTGTTGGGAATAACACTGAAAATAATAGAGAAAATCTAAAACGCTTAGCGACCGAATCGCCGGCGCCGACGGGTTGCGTGGCCTGGGATTCAAACGACTCGCGCAGAGTATATACGGCAAAACTATTGGACCCTACTCAAATTAATTACATACGGCTAAAACTATATTCAAACTTGTTGAAAAAGTTGGGACCACACCGGTATGACTTGCAATTTAGGGCATTTCAAGCGACAACTAAAGGGCCACAAGTGTGCGGTTTGTACGGCACTGATCGCCCGCCACAGGACACGATCACCGCCTCGCAGGCAATCGACGGCTATCTGACCGTTGAGTTTGAATGCTATCAACGCAACCAATCGCTAACAAAAATTATTTATTTTGAAAGCCGTTCGCAAGACTTTTACCAGGGGTTTTCACAAAACACCGATGTCTTAAAGCTTATGGTATGCGATATAAAACTATATCATATTAACACCGATTGTGGTAAACCGGATGAACCGTTGGAAATGGATGTAATAATTAATAGTCGTAATAATGGCTATAGATATCAGTGCAATAATGATAGATATACCTTATATGGAGTGTCAACTGTTACCTGCGGTCCCAATGGCCAGTGGTTGAACCCTTTTCCCCGATGTGTACCCAAAACATACTGTAAATCATCCGATATTGATATACCAGTAAACACTGGTTTTGATGTTAGTTATGCCCAGAATATTACAGTTAATGATGGTAATCGGGATATAATATACGTGCCAAATGGCCTTTACGCCAACCTTTCATGCGGGCAACACAATGATCATGATATTAACTATAATATCGACAATAAAATTAAAGGCGAAATACATATGCCGAGAGCCCCGATAGGCATATACTGTAATAATAGCCATTGGGTGGGACTGACCGCCACTCGTGACAATATAACCGCCGTTTGTATGTTTGCCTCCGAAGCAACTGAAGAAACGCCAATACAATCCGTCTCATCGACACTGATCTACACATTGTCTACAATACTATTGTTGTGTATAATAATAATCATTGTATTCATTGTAATTACGATTAAGTTTTACCACAGCACGAAGTCCACACGTAATGCGAGAAAACTAGCGCTCAGTATATATGATGACAGTCTATGTGTTGATCCGGATTTAGACAATGCTTACGAATATCCAACTTATCAACAGATCTATGAATACGACACCATTACAGCGTCTGTCAATGATTTGAAACATGTTTATTTAGATCTCAATTAAAAAGCTTATGTCTATTATTTTACATCAATTTATATGTAAAGTACTAAACAACTTTACAATACTAAATGATATTTGTAATATTAAGGATAAGCGTGTACAGTATATTATAATTGAATAAATCATGTAAATATTAAATGTATATAATTTTTAAAGTATAACTACTGTAATTATATTGTATTGATTATTTATATTGAATAATAATTTGGTATAAAATTTTTAAATAATTTAATATATAATTAAATTAAAACTGCTCCTGCACTCGCTTAAAAATGACCATTGTATTTATATTTTAAATGTTACTATACATACAAGAAGCGTATTACATTGATCATTCTGTATTATATTAATATTATTATAACAATGTTTACTCAAAATGAGCATATTAATTTATATACTTTAATAATATATAAATATGAAGTAGTATTCTGGTGAACCAATTGGATCACAATTGCAAGAAAAACACAGGAATTATGAGACAATTCATTAGAAAAAAACATTAATAAGTAATTATGTATGTGGTAAAATATTCTTGTATATCAAAACTATCAAAAATAATCTCTCTCTCTCTCTCTCTCTCTCTCTCTCTGTTTTTAAAATTTTAACAAAAAATAGTATTATTTAAACGGGTTTGGTTTTCCGGGAAGTTTAAAATATTTTTTAGGAAATAAAAAATTTATTGAATCTCATGTTAAAAATTCATAATAAAAAAAATTATATTAGAAAATGTTATTTGATATTTTAAAAAATTATATGAAAACTATGAATATAATAAATATATTAATTATCGTTATAACCGTGTTTACGGAGATGTGTTTAGCACAAAATTGTTACGATTTGAATGACAATCAGTGTTATTGTGGTTCAGTGGCCATACCTTCCGGAGCCGATATCTATACCAAAAGCGGCGATAAACCGAAACTCTTTGGGAATCAAAGCATTTACGAACACAACACTAAAGTGTATTACTTTTGTAGGGATGAAACCTCGGTATTAGTGGGCAATAAAGTACGGCACTGTCGGTACGGACACTGGACCGGTGATATACCACGATGTGGTTAGTCTCTCTCTCTCTCTCTCTCTCTCTCTCTTATCATATATACTGAGCGCTAGTTTTCTCGCATTACGTGTGGACTTCGTGCTGTGGTAAAACTTAATCGTAATTACAATGAATACAATGATTATTATTATACACAACAATAGTATTGTAGACAATGTGGTCAGTTATGCCATTCTCTCTCTCTCTCTCTCTCTCTAACAAAATAATGTTAACTAATAGTAATTGCCGTAAAATTATAGCCGTTATCTACAATAAAAGTACTTATCAAATCAATAAATACAATGCGAGTCACCATGTTGATATGAAAAATAGCACCAATAGGAGCATCGCTGACATAATAGTCACTGAATTCCAACGAATGCATAACAGAGTGCCGGCCAAAGGGTGTCTCGCCATCGACTCGGGAGTGCTTTACAACACATTTTTCACATCACTTATACGGCCGGCGAGTATTGATTTCATACGCATAAGAATCTACTCAAACACGTTGAAAAAATATGGACCGCAAAGGTTTGACTTGCGATACACTATTGTGACCGCAATCGATAACTTTACCCAAACTTGCATTACGTCGCCCATTGAGCGCAGGGCAACTCCTGTCGGCAATGAGGGTCACATGACGGTGGAGTTTAGGTGCAATATACCGGAAAATGTGCTAGTCGATAAATTGGCAATTTTAATATCGAACCGAACAAATGAATATGCTATGAATTTTACTGATAAACATACGGCTATAGATATGACCATTTGTAATGTAAAGCTCTATCACTTTGACACGGATTGTGGTAAACCGGATGAGCCTCTGGTCATGGATGTCATTGCGATCGGTAATGGGAGTCAACAATATAAATGTAATGACAATAGATATACGCTATACGGAGCCCACACTGTTGAGTGCGGTCCAAATGGCCAGTGGCTGAACCCCTTTCCCCGATGTGTACCCAAAACATACTGTAAAACATCTGATATTGTTATACAAGTCAATAGTAGTTTAGACATTAGTTACACCGAGAATATTACTGTTAATGATGGGAATCAAGAAATAATATACGTACCCAATGGTCTGTACGCTAATCTATCATGCAATAAAAACAAACAACATGATGGTAACTACGAGTTGAGTGGTCCGACAGAGATATACTGTAATAATAGCCAATGGGTTGGACTGACCGCCGGTTACGACAATACAAGCGCTGTTTGTGTGTCTGTTAACGAAACAGTTGTTTTGGCTCAAGAGATAAGAGAACAATCAAACACTTTGTCATTGATTTACACATTTTCTTCAATATTATTATTCTGTATAATAATAATCATTACATTAATTGTATTCACGATTAAATCTTACCACAAGAAGAGAGCGGAGAAAGAGTTAAATGCGAGAAAATCGGTGCTCAGTATATACGATGACAATGTGTTTGTTGACCCGGATGTTATTTACGAGAACGAGAATTATGATCAAATATATGGATACCAAACCATTACAGCGCCGGTCAATGTCATCGATAAACAGGATTATCGAGAGTTGGATTATAAAACTCAAAATACCGATTATTTAGACATGAATTATAAAGATTAACTCTCAATGTTGCATGTAATGTAGAAATTGGTCATGGCTATTTTTGCAAACTAATAAATTTTCAATAATGTACATTTACTCTAAAAGCGAATAAAGTAATATACTATTATTAATAGTCTATTAATAATTAAATTTTATTTAAATAAATTAACATTTAAAAATTACTATAAATGAATTAACTATATTTAAATGTTTTCATATAATTCCATTAATGTAATCGTAATAAAAATAATATCTATTATCTAAATATTATTAATATTTTTTGGTTTCACTATTTAAAAAATTTTCAGAAACAAGTAGGTATATTGTAGGTGAGGTAGTTTTGTTGTTATGCAAAATCTGTGAAAGTCACTTATAAATTCGCTGTACCTATATGCGGCGAAATACGGTAATGATTTGTCAATGATAAAAATAAATATATAGTTTAATTTAATTAACCTTCATAAAGTATAATCATTCATTAGAAAAAATTGACTACGTGAGAAAACGTTTGATTGATATCACAGTTATAAAGAATAGCACAGGGATTGTGAGGCAATTCATATGAAAAACCCATTAATAAGTATTTAAATATGTAGTAAAAAGTAATTGAATTACCCAGATCATCCGCAATGATTCTCTCTCTCTCTCTCTCTCGTTTTAAAACAACAATAAATTAAATTGTTTTAAAGGATTTATATTTCCGGGAAATTAAGCCAAGAGTATTTTTTATGCTATAAAATATTACTTTAAACTTATGTATAAAAAAATATAATTACAAAAAAACAAATATTAAATGATAAACAATGAATATAACATCCATATTAGTTCTTGTTGTAACCATGTTTACGGGGTTGTGTTTAACGCAAAATTGTTATGATCTGAATGACAATCAGTGTTATTGTGGATCAGTAGCCATACCTCCCGGCGCCGACATCTATACCACAGATGGCAATAAACAGACACTATTTGCAAACCAAAGTATTTACGAAATCAATACTAAAGTCCATTACTTCTGTAGCGATCAAAGCGCTGTATTAGTGGGCAATAAAGTACGGCACTGTCAGTACGGACACTGGATCGGTGCTGTACCCCAATGTGGTCAGTTATGCCATTCTCTCTCTCTCTCTCTCTCTCTCTCTCTCTCTCAATTAATAGCAGTATACATATATATATACAGTATTAAAGTTATAAATATACCCAGTTATTTATTTATATTTTTTTATTGTAAAATAAGATTAACTAATATTTATCACGATTATTAGCTTTTATTCACGACAAAACCATCTATGACATCAATAAAAGCAACGAAAGTCACCATGTTCATATTACTAATGCTACTGATGTCGCAAGTATCACTCAAATTATTGGCACCGAATTCAGACGAGTCAGAGGCCAATCGCCGGCCAACGGGTGCTTCACATTAGATTCGGGAAACTTTTACAACACATTTATCACATCACTTATACGGCCGGCGATTATTGATTTCATACGCATACGAATCTACTCAAACACGTTGAAAAAATTTGGACCACAAGGGTTTGACATGCAGTTCACTTTATTGACCGGAACCGATCAATTCACCCATATGTGCCTAACCTCTGAAATTGACCGCTCGGTTACCTCGTTTGGTAATGAAGCTTATTTGACAATTGAGTTTACATGCAGTTCACCCAAAAACGTGCTAGTTGATAAAATTGCCGTTTTAGTATCAAGCACAACACTAGATCCTAAGAATATTACAGATGAACACATTGCCCTAGATTTGACTTTATGTAATGTAAGGTTATATCACTTTGATATGGATTGTGGTAAACCGGATGAGCCTCTGGTCATGGATGTCATTAAGACCGGTAAAGCTAGTCATAAATATGAATGTAATGATAATAGATATACGCTATACGGAGCCCACACTGTTGAGTGCGGTCCCAATGGCCAGTGGCTAAACCCCTTTCCCCGATGTGTACCCAAAACATACTGCAAAACATCTGATATTGATATTTCAGTTAACAGTAGCCTAGAAATAAAGTATACTAATAATATTACTGTTGATGATGGTAATCGGGACATACTATACGTGCCCAATGGCCTGTTTGTTAATCTATCATGTGGTGATAACTATGATAACCTAAATGGAAATGAAAACGGTATTTATGAGTTGAGTGGTCCGCCAGTCATATACTGTAATAATAGCCAATGGGTTAGACTGACCACCGGTTACGACAATACAAGCGCTGTTTGTGTGTTTGTCAACGAAACTGAAATTTTGGCTCAAGACATACGGTCGCGAACACTACAGTCCAACTCATCGACACTGATCTATACATTCACTACAATACTATTGTTGTGTATAATAATAATCATTACATTAATTGTATTCACGATTCGGTCTAACCGTAAGAATGAGGAGAAGAGGAGGAATGCGAGAAAATCGGTGCTCAGTATATATGATGACACGGATTGTGTTAATCCGGATTTGAACAATGTTTACGAATATGCAACTTATCAAGCAATTCATGAATACGATATCATTACAGCGCCGGTCGATGAATATAAACATGATTATTTAGATATCAATGATAAAACTAAAAATGAATATTATTTACAAATGGATAATAAAAATAACACTAAAGATTGAATGTAATTTAGAACGTAATCATGATCATTACATTATGTAATTCAGATATTTAATATTTTACTAATTTTTACTTATTATTTCCGGTTAAGAGTTGTATGAATCTATATTATAATGCTCCAACAAGTTTTCTAACATGATAAATTCATTATTATTAATTAGAGTCCTGTTTATTTATATTCTAGAACCAAATGTTTATTATTATTCACGACCCAAACATGCATATATAAAATTTAGTTTATACTTTTAATTTATGCAATTTGTTAATGTTGGGTAATATTTATAATTTATATTTTTGTGAAATTATTAAAGCTGTTCAGAATATGTATTTATTCTTGGTCAAATATGTTATATAATATTTATTTAAAATAGTCAAATATGTGCTTATATATTTACTAAAAAGGGATCAAATATTTACTTAAATATTTATTTATAAATCTCAATATTTAATATAAATTCTAATTAATGTATTCTATAGACAAAATCACAAAATATTATGCTAAAAATGTTCAGTAGCCTTTTAAATGCTATTTAAATAGTTTTAATGAAAGTAATAATATATATTTAAATTATATCAATTGTTTCCAAGTCAAACTAATGATATACTATCCCATGATTATGTATTACATAATGTCATACAAGTATTTATTATTGTTTTGATTCATTATTAACAAACTTTTAGAAATTATTTTATCATTTAATACATATTTAGATATTTTAAGCTACGATTTTCAAGTAAATTAATGATTTTTATGCTTTATGACCAAATATTTATTTATATTTATTTAAAAGTCAAATATGTATTTATATGTAAAATAAAACTTTGTTAATTTGGCCCTTATTATGTAATTCGTTTGCCCCCAAAGTCCCAAACATATATTTTTAACAGATGAATATATTAAAAACATATTCTGAACAGCTTTAGTAATTATGTAAAATTTTTTGTATTAATGTGGTCACTGTGTGAATTAGTATTAGACAATAAAAGCATTTTCATTAACAATCCTACCCCAAGGTGAGCACTTTTTCCACTGTGGTCACTGTGTTAATTAGTGTTAGACACTAAAAATATCTTTGTAAAAATCATACCCCAAGGTGAGCACTTTTTCCACTGTGGTCACTGTGTTAATTAGTGTTAGACACTAAAAATATCTTTGTAAAAATCCTACCCCAAGGTGAGCACTTTTTCCACTGTGGTCACTGTGTTAATTAGTGTTACACTAAAAATATCTTGATTAAAAATCCTACCCCAAGGTGAGCACTTTTTCCACTGTGGTCACTGTGTTAATTAGTGTTAGACACTATAAATATCTTTTTAAAAATCTTAATCCATGGTTAACATAATAATGAAACGTTAACAAGTCTGACAATTATGAAATATTTATGAATATGACATCATTACAATGCCTATCGATAATTTTAAACTTGATTATTTATATTTGAATTATAAAACTGAAATATAATTATTATGTAGAGTTGGTTTACAAAGAATCACTAATACTCAAGTTATTAATCAAGTTATTAGTCTATTCAGTACAAATAAAGTAAAATTATTCTATATGATTATACAAGTTGAAGTTATATTGTTCGTTTTATGAAAAAGTGTATTTTTGATATAATTTCTGTAAAAATTAGATTTTCATAATAATTTTTTCCAAAAATAAAAAAAACTTTTATTAAAATATAAATGTGTTACATAATATTATACTTTATTTGTGTCTAACATCATTAATACAGGAAATTTATTATAACCATTTGAAGGAAATGACATATGCACAATTTTAATAATTAAAACCTTTGTTACACTGACATTTATGAAACAACAAATATTATATATAAGTATTTTATATAAAGAATAATACTGTATTTTATATAAATAAAACTTATGAATACAATAAAATTATTGTCTGGTATTTTAATCTTGGTTACGGGTAGGTGTTTATCGCAAAATTGTTACGACTTGAATGACCGAACGTGTTATTGCGGTTCACCGGCCATTCCAGTCGATGCCTCTATTTATATCACAACCGGCAAAAAGTCCTCACAATTGGACAACGAGTATAACTATAGACATAATTTTAAAGTGCATTACAATTGTAAATATAAAAACTCAACATTAGTGGGCAATAATGTACGGCACTGTCGATACGGACATTGGACGGGTGATGTACCCCGATGTGGTCAGTAGTTCTCTCTCTCTCTCTCTCTCTCTCTCTCTCACTCACTCACTCACTCATTCACTCTCACTTTATTTTCAATAATATCCATATTATTAAATAATATTAATTACAGCCATTGCTTACGACACAAATACTTATCATCTAAATAAACTCAATTCAACGCAAACAACAAGTGATGCGAAAAACACTGAAACCTTTAACTCAAAACAATCGGAAACCGGTTCGCCGGCGCCCACCGACTGCCTGGCCTGGGATGAGACCGGTTTTACTACAACACTATCACAGCCGACGCTAATTAATTACATACGGTTACGATTGTACTCAACCCTATTGAAAAGGCTCGCAAAGCGGCGTAATGTCATCACATTTTGGGCATCACTAGTAAAGGCATACGGCGTTGTGTCGTGTCGTACGATCGCAACTTATCTTACGGTTGGTGACGGCTTTCTGACCGTTGACTTTGAGTGCACTCAACGCAATCATACGCTGAGTAAACAGATTTACTTTTACGTCAGTTTCGAGAATGGATTTCAAGATATTTATCACAGATTTCCCGATAAGTCCGATGTCTCAACGTTTATGACATGCGATATAAAGCTCTATCACTTTAACCCCAATTGCGGTCAACCCGAGGAACCGCTGCTCATGGATGTAGTGTCCGGCGGACGTAATGGCGGTTATAAATACAAGTGTAATGACGATAGATATACGCTATACGGAGCCCACACTGTCGAGTGCGGTCCCAATGGCCAGTGGCTGAACCCCTTTCCCCGATGTGTACCCAAAACATACTGTAAAACATCCGATATTAATATACCAGTAAATAGTGGTTTAGACATTATTAACACCGAGAATATTACAGTTAATGATGGTAATCGAGATATAGTGTATGTGCCAAATGGGCTGTACGTTGATCTAACATGCGTTCAACAAAATCTAGATACTATTAATTTGGTTAATGATGATCGTAAATATGGGATATTTGAAGTAAAAGGGCCGACACGTGTTAATTGTATTAATCGTGAATGGGTTGGATTGACGGCCGGTGACAATACAACTGCTGTTTGCGAGTTTGTCAACAAAACTGAAGACAATATACAGACAGTATCGACAGTAATGTCAAACAGTATCGCAACCACTGAAGTAAACGTAGAAAATGTTGTAATTTCCATGTCTTCAACACTGATCTACACATTGTCTGCAATATTATTACTTTGCATAATAATAATCATTGCATTCATTGTATTCACGATTAAGACTTACCACAAGAGGAGGTATGAAAGGAAAGGGGCTCTCAGTATAAAACAGGCTCAATATGATGACAGTCTGTCTATTGATCCGGATTTAAACCATGTTTACGATTACGCAGAGTATCAACATATTTATGAATATGAATCTATAACAGCACATAACACACTTAATAATTATAAACATGATTATTTAGATTTGAATTATAAGACACAACCATAATTGATTATATTTATATATTCAGTAGTAAGAATACTTTTACCATTTAAAAATTTTTGTAAATATTTATTATTAAAATTACATATAAATGATAATAATTTCTGTGGTATTGAATACAAATTGTAAGAATAAGAATTATAAATACATTATTTAAAACAATATTTATAAGTTTTAGACATTTTAGGGAGGGAGAGAGAGAGAGAGAGAGAGAGAGAGAGAGAGTTTCTATTAATTTTTTCATTCATAGAAATAAATCCTGATTTTGTAATAACTTGTTTTGTAGGAAACGACATAACATTTGTTACACAGATATAACAATTTATAACTTATATCAAACAATATTGCTTAACAATGTCAGCAAAATGTCAAGTATAATGAATATAATAAAAATTTTATCATGTATTTTAATCCTAAACATTAAAATGTGTTTATCACAAAACTGTTACAATACTAATCAAGATCATTGTCATTGTGGACCAGTGGCCATACCTTTTGGCGTCGATATCTATACCATAAATAGCAATAACCAGACAATAATTGCCAACAAAAGTATTTATGAAAACAATATTAAAGTGCATTACATTTGTAGGGATGAAAACGCTATACTAATGGGTAATAAAGTGCGGCATTGCTATTACGGCCATTGGACGGGTGATGTACCCCGATGTGGTAATAATCATAAATGCTTTAATTAATTATTACTAACTATGTTAATTTATTTTAATAGCTATTGCTTACGATCAAAATATTTATCGCATAAATAAATACAATAAAACTCACATAGTTTATATAACAAATTTAACCAATTCAACCAGTTCTGGGAACGACAATGAAATTATTCAAAAATTATTCAAACACCCTATCCACTTTGTGCACAACAATCAATGTTTGCCCATGGATGTGAGCAAGACACTTAATTATTTTTTCACAACACTGTTACGCGCGGCCAGAATTGCACATGTACGTTTGCGCATTTTTTCCAATTCGTTAAAAAAATTTGGACCACGTGGATTGGACTTAACATACAGGATACTTTTTACAAAAACTAGTTTTGGACAACCCGAGTGTATTTGGTCGGCCACTGACCTGACACAGGCTAGTGATGGCTATATGACCGTCGAGTTTGACTGCAATCAAACGATAGGTGCGGTCAAAGACTTTAAATTTATTGTGTTTGGATCGACAACAAAACCCTCGGACCTAGATTTTATGATTTGCACCATACAGGTTTTTCACTTTAACCTCGATTGTGGTCAACCGGATAAACCTCTTGGTATGGATGTAATGATGAATAGCACCGGTAATGGTGTTTATAAATACAAGTGTAATGACGATAGATATACGCTATACGGAGCCCATACTAGTGTCGGTAAAGTGAATCATGTTTCACGTGATTCACGCTCACTCACGCTCACGGGCCGTGATCGTGAGTGAACGTGAATAATTTTAGACNTTGTTTAATTGTATTATACACAACAATTTACCGTACGACAATTTACATTTTGGGTATAGTTAAAACCGTGAGTGGCGTGAGTGTATGTGAAAAATCGTGATCGTGAGTGAACGTGAAAAGTTTTACAGACACCGTGAGTGAGTGTGATTCACGATTGAATTTTTCCCCGTGAGTGTGAGTGAGCGTGAAAATTTTTGTCGTGAACGTGAGTGAGCGTGAATGAAAATTGTCCAATTTACCGACACTAGCCCATACTGTCGAGTGCGGTCCCAATGGCCAGTGGGTGAACCCTTTTCCCCGATGTGTACCCAAAACCTATTGTCAAAAATCCGATATTGATATATCAGTAAACACTGGTTTAAAGATTAGTTATCCTGATGAAATTAAGGTTAATGATGGTAATCGGAAAATAATATATGTGCCCAATGGACTGTACGCTAATCTATCATGTGAACAAACCAAACAAAATGATGGTAACTATAATAACAAAACTGTTAATGAAAACGGGAGGTATGAAGTGATCGGTCCGACAGAGATATACTGTAATAACAGCCAATGGGTTGGACTGACCACAACTGGTGACAATTCAACCTCTGTTTGTGTGTTTGTCAACAATACTGTGATTTTGACTGAAGAGATAACAATACAGTCCAACGCTTTGACTCTCATCTATACATTTACTGCAATATTATTGTTATGTATAATAATAATCATTACATTAATTGTATTTACGGTTAAGTCTCATAACAAGAAGAGGGCGGAGAAGACTAGGAATGCGAGAAAATCAGTGCTCAGTATATATGATGACAGTCTGTTTGTTGATCCAGATTTAGACAATGTTTATGAATATGTAAATCATCAACAGATCCATGAATATGACACCATTACAGCGCCCGTCGATAAGCATGAATACTTAGATTTGAATTAGAAAACATTGAATATAGATTAGTTATAAACTTAACCATGATTAAATATATTGATTGATTGATTGATAGAGAGAGAGAGAGAGAGAGAGAGAGAGATTTTCTATTAATTTTTTCATTCATAGAAATAAATCCTGATTTTGTAATAACTTTGAGAGAGAGAGAGAGAGAGAGAGAGAGAGAGAGAGAATTATATAATTATCTCAGAAATAAATCCGGTGAATTGATAGGAAATGCCTTAACATTTAACATTTGTTGTTAACATTTAATACTTTTATTATTGTAGAGTAGTATCTCATATCTTGTATCACATATTGTAAAATATAATGAATATAATAAAAATGTTATCATGTATTTTAATCCTAATTATTGAAATATGCTTATGTCAAAACTGTTACGATATTAATCATGATCAATGTTATTGTGGATCAGTTGCCATACCTCCCGGAGCCAACATCTACACCATAGACGGCAATAACCAGACAATAATTGGCAACAAAAGTAATTACGAAAACAATATTAAAGTGCATTACGTTTGTAGGGATGAAAACGCTATACTAATGGGTAATAAAGTGCGCCAATGCTATTACGGCCATTGGACGGGTGATGTACCGCAATGTGGTAATAATCATAAATGCCTTAATTAATCATTATTAACCATGTTAATTAATTTTAATAGCCATCGCTTATGACAAAGATACTTATCGTATGAATAAATTCAATAAAACTCACCTAGTTTATATGACCAATTCGGCCAATATAATGAACGACACGGAATATATTGCGGAGAGGGATGTCATACGAAAAATACAGTATCGAAATCACTGCTTACCAATTGATGTGGACGGCAATCTGGCCTCGTTTTGCACAACAATTACCACGACCAAAATTGTTTACGTACGCTATCGAATATACTCAAACATGTTGAAACAAGTTGGACACCAAGGGCTGAGCTTAGTATTCATCGCAAAAGTATCCGCATTGGGTTACGGCCGACAAGAATGCATTCGGTCGGCCACTGACCTGACACATGGCAGTGATGGCTATATGACCGTCGAGTTTAACTGCAATCAAACCAAATATACGGTCGCAGAAAAAATTATTTTGTTTGTCTATGATTTAACCGAAAAACCACTTAACCTAGATTTTGTGATATGCAAAATAGAGGTTTTTTACTATAAATCCGAATGTGGTAAACCGGATGAGCCACTTGCTATGGATATGATGATGGTTGGTTATGGTAGATATAAATACAAGTGTAATGATAATAGATATACTCTATACGGAGCCCACACGGTTGAGTGCGGTCCCAATGGCCAGTGGCTGAACCATTTTCCCCGATGTGTACCCAAATCATACTGTAATACACTTGATATTAATATATCAACAAACAATGGTTTGGAGATTAGTTACCTTGAGAATATTACTGTTAATGATGGGAATCGAGATATAGTATACGTACCCAATGGCTTGTACGCCAATCTATCATGTGGTCAATACAAACACAATGATAATAACTATAAAAATTCAACGCGTAATGAAAAAGGGATGTATGAAGTGATGGGACTGACAGAGATATACTGTAATAACAGCCAATGGGTTGGACTGACAGCCGATTACGACAATACAACCACTGTTTGTGTATTTGTTAATAAAACTGAAACAACAATATTGTTGAACACATCGGCACTGATCTATACATTTACTACAATAATATTACTTTGTATAATAATAATCATTACCTTAATTGTATTCGCGATTAAGTCTTACCACAAGAAGAGGGCGGAGAATAAGAGGAATGCAACAAAATCAGAGCTCAATATATATGACGACAACCTGTTTGTTGATCCGGATTTAGACAATGTTTACGAGTATGAAGATTATGAAAAGATCTATGAATACGACACCATTACAGCGCCGGTCGACGAATATAAACATGTTTATTTAGATTTGAATTACAAAGCACTTCATTAATGTTCCAATGGCATTATGGTATTCCGATGGATTACAATGGAAATATAATATTATAATTACTATTTATTGAGAGAGAGAGAGAGTAAAAGAATTTCGGAAATCTACTGTAGTTTTTTTTAATACATTTACACTTCCGGGAAATATACTCTTTAGAGTATTTTCATAAAATGAAAAATTATATAAATCTTATGTTTAAAATGTTATAATAATAATTGTTAGCAAATAAAATATTTTTATTTAAATATCTGACAGATGTTTAACAAATATTATATAAATAACTATGAATTTAATAAACATATTAATCATTATATTAACCACATTTACAGACATGTTTTTAACGCAAAACTGTTACGACATGAATGACAATGAGTGTAATTGCGGAGCAGTAGCCATACCATCATATGCTCATGTCTTGAGCTCAACCGGATCCAAACACACGAAATACTTGGATAAAACTTATTATAAACACAACATTAAGGTGTTTTATGTCTGCGAAGGAGGGACTGAATTAGTGGGCAATAATGTGCGACATTGTTGGAACGGATACTGGATCGGTAATGTACCAAGATGTGGTTAGTTATATGCTCTCTCTCTCTCTCTCTCTCTCTCTCTCAATAAATAGTAATTATAATATTATATTTCCATTGTAATCCATCGGAATACCATAATGCCATTGGAACATTAATGAAGTGCTTTGTAATTCAAATCTAAATTTCTCTCGCTCTCTCTCTCTCTCTCTCTCTCTCTCACTCACTCACGCTGTTTTATATAAGATACAAATATATGATACCCTGAATATAGCCATCAAACACTCTGGTGTCACGACTTATGGCATTAATAAAATTAAAATAAAAACATCGCGTTTTGCGAATGAAACTGAAAATATTGATAACAACTCAAAACCATTAGATGGGAGCCGATTGCCGGCGCCCGACGGCTGTAAGCCATGGGATACGGATGGCTTGAGGCGCGTGTTTGGCACAGATTTAAAGGGCGGTTATGGCGTCGATTATATACGGATCAAAGTTTATTCAGTGGCGTTGAAAACACGCCGACAACAAGCGATTGGCTATAGATTTAGGGCATCACTGAATAATGAGGCGCAAGAGTGTCGACTGTCCCGTACAGACCAGTCGGCGGCGGCCGATGGCTATCTGGGCGTTGAGTTTGAGTGCATTCATAGCAAGCAATCGCCGACTCAACGCATTTACTTTGGCGTCGGTTTTGACGGCGAGTCACAAAATTTTTACCGTAACTTTCAACGGATAGCCGACGACTCGGATCTTTCGATATGCGATCTAAATCTGTATTATTTTATTGGTTCTTGCGGTGAACCCGACAGACCCCTCGCCATGGAAGAGGTTATTCCACGTGGTTATGGTTTTACTAAATATAGCTATAAGTGTAAACATAATTATACGCTATACGGGCACCAGACGGTTAAGTGTGGTCCCAATGGCCAGTGGCTGAACCCCTTTCCCCGATGTGTACCCAAAACATACTGCAAAACATCCGACATTAAGGGTATGACAACTGATAATAGTTTAAATATTATTGCCGCCAAAAATATTACGGTTTATGATGGAAATTTGGACATTGTATATGTGCCAAATGGCTTTAATGTTAAACTATCATGCGGGCAATTCAATGAACATAATAACTATACAATTGATAATGGTAATAAGAATGGAGTTTATGTATTGAGAGGTCCGACAGAGATATACTGTAATAATAGTCAATGGTTGGGACTAAACACCATTCGTGACAATATAACCACTTTTTGCGAGTTTGTCAACAAAACAGATGTGTTGACTAAAGGGATAACAAGTCCTTCCACTTCATGGACACTAATTTACATATTTTCTACAATATTATTATTATGTATAATAATAATCATTACATTAATTGTATTCACGATTAAGTCTTACCATAAGAAACGGGAGGAGAAGAGGAAGAATGCAACAAAACAGGAATTTAATATACATGACGACAGTTTGTCTGTTGATCCGGATTTGAATACCGTTTACGAGTATGAAAATTATGAACATATTTATGAATACGACATCATTACAGCGCCCGTCGATAATTATAAACATGATTATTTAGATTTGAATTATAATGTACAACATTAATAGTCTATTGCCTGCATACGTCTGTATACATCTTATAAGCATGCTTAGGAATTTTTCAAAAAAGGAGTGGAATTTCACTCAAAAAAAATTGATATAGCTATAAAGTGATTAAGGGATTATATCCAGGCACATAAAATCATGAGATGTTTACACTATGATACTGTTCAAAATACACTGAATTTTGTCTATTATTTCACACAATTAATTGTAATAAAAAGCCATTTCTGACCGAAAACTCATTTCTCTCTCCGTTTCCGATAAATGACTGAAATGTCTGTCGTTTTCAAACAATAATGAAATGTATTTATAATATATTATACTTATTATAAGCGACAGAAATGCCACTAAAATTGTTTTGTATCTCATTTTTAATTACAATACAAATTCAATTGACAGCTAATTAGCGGTCAATTCAATGCATAAAACACAACAAACACTTGAATTCAATTCAAAATTACTTTCAAAATATTTACTGATTTTTGTTTGGATTTTAACGTCAAAAGAGTGACACCTTTTGTGCAACTATTTGTACCAATACTTTATATGTCATCAAAAGTTTATAAAACTATGCAATCGTTTCAAGTATTCAATTAAATCACTTAACAATAGTCATGCTTAGGAATTTTTCAAAAAAGGAGTGGAATTTCACTCAAAAAAAATTGATATAGCTATAAAGTGATTAAGGGATTATATCCAGGCACATAAAATCATGAGATGTTTACACTATGATACTGTTTAAAATACACTAAATTTTGTCTATTATTTCACACAAACTCTTCATTGCATTGAATTTACTCTTCATTTCAATCAACGAAACACTTATTAATTGTAAACACATTTCGTTTGTTTTGTGCATTTTAATCAACAAACCACTCATTTATTTTGTATATTTTGTGCTTTTTGTGGAAAACATTTGTGACGTTAATTGAAATTACGCTATTGTTCATGAGATTTAGTAATGATATGACAATTGAATAGTTTTATATTATAATAAGGTATCTTTTTAATGAATAAATCAAAATATTCAATCACACTTATTATTTATTTATTGCCCATTAAAACCATTACTCAATATATTCAATGTTAATAATCATTGTTAATAATCATTATTCATTGATTAAAAGTTACCTTTTTGTAAGATAAATCGATTCAATTGTTTAGCATTTAGCATAGTATATAAAAGTTACTTAAAAATGGCTAAAAAGGTGATAAAAAGTTATGAAAAAGTTAGTTATTCTGCATCAAAATAATCCATTCAAATGACAATAACATTCGTTTTTGAATTCAATTGTATCACAAAGTATTTTGTGAGGTTTTCGGTTTTAAAAGCCATTCGTCTGTCGAAAAACGTGTAATAACTAAAAACCATAGCCTGTTATGACACTGAATTTTGTTTATTATTTCACACAAACTTTTCACTGCATTTAATATACTCTTCATTTCATATTTTCGTGGAAAATATTTGTGACATAAATTAAAAGTACGCTATTGTTTATGAGATTAATAATGATATGACAATTGTTTAGCATTTTATCACTGATTTTACATAAATTCACATGTATAGCCCATTGTTTGCATGGAGTTTGTGAAAAGATTCTCAACAATTCTCCATATTTTTGAGTGATCAATGTAGCAAAATTCCTAAGCCTGGTGATAACACGGTGATAACATTGATGTTTGACTTATTAGGTTGACCTTTACGCGATTAATACTGACAAATCTAAACTTTTTTACTGACCATTGCGCCACCTTTGTATGGCACACTGTGAATCTGTATCTGTGATATGCTAAAAAAGGTTGAACAACAATATATTAAACGGTGTTTGAATTGTTGTTTGTTATTTCTCTATGCCAACTTTTAATTTACATTAAGTTCATACGTAAGACTTTTTACATACAAAATTCACAATTGTTTATACATTTATATTATTATAGATCATCATTAATTAATAATTATCTATATAATTATTTTGACATCATTTCGAATAGACTCAGAATTAGTATTTTATATTCATTATTATTATTCACTATTCGTTATTAGAGTATTACATAAAATACTATTTATGGAAAGTTCAATTATATATTTTTTAATAAAATGACTGGTTTTATGAGTTTTACACATAGTAAACAATATTATACATACATGTATGAAAATGACTTAATTCAAAGTAATACAATATACACTACAAAACTTTTGTATTTGCATAGTCGTTTTACATAGAACTCAATGTAAAGCGTAACAAAAGTATTTGCATAAAAGTTAATAAATAGAATAATTATA